GTGCACAAATCCTCTTAATGGGCCGTTATGGAATAAGCTGTCCATAGGGAAAGCATCTTCCTGACTCCAGGTTTATGTCCTTTCAGTTAGTTCATGCCCTTAAGCATGAGGGTTTATATCCGTTACATATATACAATCTCATTTAATTGTGGATGTTCATATTATCCATATCCATATCTAATTCCTCTTCTGAATCTTGTTAAGATCTTAGACTCACCAATGTCTTCTGGCAGCAAGTTTAATTTAATATCAGAACTCACTCTAGTAAGGTGGAGAGGCCCAGACCAGAAGTGGAAGGTTGATGCGTCTGTCAGTCAGGAGGAATACTGGCTATAGAAGACCAACAGAATATCTGACCCTCTGGAAAAATCTTCCAGTATTTAAAGGAGCATCAGAAAAGAGTGCCTTTAAAAAACGCAGACAAAACTAAAACTCCCACAACAATCTTGCTTTCAGGGGGAAATTTACAATTTCACTGTTTTTAGCTACTAGTTTTTCTACCTCACAAAAACCCTCTGATTGCTTAATGTATGAGATCAGATATATATCTAAGGAAGTTGTCCTCCCTTTCCATGAACAATTCTGGGACACAGAAACTTCTTGAAAAACCAAAACAAACAAAATGATCACTGCCCTTTCAAAACACCTCCAACGTTGTGAGTCAGATCGATGTTGCATTCATCATCCAAGGTTCTGTTGATGCACTTGGCACGAGGCAATACTATCTTTTTGCAAGGGGGAATTGACAGTTCGAATACGTTCATGGGGCTCTATGAAATGACTTTTTAAAAAATAAAAACAGAAGCTTGGCAAGTACCAGCTGAAGAGCAGGTAACGTTTTGGAGAAGAGGGACCTCAGTCAAATTTTAAGATTTGGTTTAATTTTTTAGAAACCTTTGATTACTTCCTGCAGGTGGAAACTGGAGATGTCAGTCTCCTTCCACTCCGTACCCCCCTTCCTCTATACCAGGGATCAGCAACCTTTGGCACGCAGCTCTCCAGGGTAAGTACCCTGGCGGGCCGGGCCGGTTTGTTTACCTGCCGCGTCCGCAGGTTCGGCCGATCGCGGCTCCCACTGGCCGCGGTTCGCCGCTCCAGGCCAATGGGGGCGGCAGGAAGCAGCGGCCAGCAAATCCCTCAGCCCACGTCGCTTCCCACAGCCCCCATTGGCCTGGAGCAGCGAACCGCAGCCAGTGGGAGCCACGATCGGCCGAACCTGCGGATGCGGCAGGTAAACAAACCGTCCCGTCAGGGTGCTTACCCTCGCGAGCCACGTGCCAAAGGTTGCCGATCCCTGCTCTATACCCATTACTTTACTTTACCTTTCTATTCTTCTGTTGTTGTTTTTTTGTTCTGTCATTTCGGGGGTGGGAATTCTTCAGTAAAAATATCACTTTCAGCAAAGAGGTGTGCGGAGCAGGCCTCTGTTGCTAATCCTTTCCCCATTCAGTCTTTCAAATCCATATAAAATTGGGATTCTCCCCCCCCCCCTCCAATTCTTTTGTTTGTATTTTGAAACATCCTCCAATGGAAGCTATTAGAACATGAATTGGGAAGTAAAGCGCAGAACCATGAAACCTGCCCAGAAGTTAAGGATCGTAAAATCCTGCTTCTCCTAGGAGTCCCTTGCCTGCCATCCTCCCCTACCCCCCAACTATCCTGCGGTGTAAATCGACCTAGGTCCAGTGCCATCACTGGGGTCGTGCCAATTTACACCAGATGAGGATCTGCTCCCGACCAGTTACCAATTCCTTCCCAGGGTATTTGGAACCAAGATTCCTCTGCTGCTGTTCTTTACCAGTCCTGGAAAAGTACCAAGGCCAGACTTTTTTTTTTCCCCCCAACTTTTGGGGCATCCGATTAATTTGCATTGAGGAGCCAAAACAGGATGGCAGGCGCCTCATTCTGACCAGGCCAAGTTTGAAAATGTTGCCCTGGCTGGCAGCAGCCATGGGATGAATGAAACAGGGGCTCGCGGGCCGGATCCAGCTTTTAGCTGCACCCCGAAATCTGCTGGCAGAGAAGTCCTGGCTCCTAGGACCTTGTCCTGGTCCCTGCTTGGCCCCTGGGAAGGGCACGGCTGGCTGGCTCCACCTGTCACTTTCCTCTTCCAGCCGGGCCCTTACAGGGGCGAGGGAAGGGCGATTACCTGGGTCGCTTGGGTGCACTGAGCGTGGGAGTCCTCAGCCGCTCGGGCGCCCCTTTCCAAAGCCAGGTCCCGAGCCGCGGGGGCGAGCTGGCCGCGGGGAGGCGGAAGTAGCCTGACCCCGGTTCACATGGCCCAGGAGGCGGAGCCGCGGCCGCGGGGTGGCCCCGTCGCCACCCCGCGGCAGCCGGAGCCGGAGCCCGGGGTGTGGGGGGGGGCGGTGACGTAACACAGGGAAGTGGCTACATGTCGCTGGCTGGCTACAGCGCGTTCCAAAGGGGGCGGGGCCCCGCGGGGGTGGGGGAGCTCAGCCCCTGGAGGAGGAGGAGGCGGCCGGGCTGGGAGGTGGGATCTTGCCCGCCCGCAGAAGGGGATGGGGGGTGTCCCCCCCCAGCTGGAGTATGGAGAGCCCTATGGGGACTCCCCCCAGCGGGGGCTATGGGGCTCTCACCCCCCTGCAGAAGGGGGGGTCAATGGGGGATGTCGCCTCCGGTGAAGGAGAGGGGGATCTCGCCCCCAGGGGGGAGGGCTATGGGGAAATCCCACTCGCAAAGGGGGGGTGAGTGGGCGTGGCTCTCTCCCAGCGGGGGGAGCTATGGGGGGATCCCCGCGCCAGCTAGAGGAGGGGGGAGCTAGGGGGGAATCCCTGCCCCAGCTGGCGGGGTGGGAAGCTGTGGGAGGCTGGAGAAGTTCTTCAGAGGACTCGCCCCCTCCTAAGCGGGCCAGGGCTGCTCAAGGGAATTCAGTCCAGTATCCTCCCACGTGCAGCCTCGGGGCAGGGGGGGGGGGCTCATGCGCTCAGACTGGGGATCCCCCCCCCCCCGCCCCAGCCAGAGGCTGGACTGATGCGCCTTCAAGTCCAAGGTGAACCCCCACTGTTCCCACCAGCCGAAGCCAGAGGGCGCGCTTGCCATAAGGAAATCTAGCCTTCTCCCGGGGCTCCGGGTTTGTCTCTGGCACTGAGGGTCGGGCAGCAACTGTACCGATTTCTTTGCCAACGGAGGAGAAGGGTTAAGGTAACATGCAGCCTGCTCTTTCCCTGGGACAAAGCTCCCAGTTCGCTGCGGACCAGAGAACCTGCTTCACTCTCCTTCTCAGCATCAGTCTGCCACACTGACACCATGCTGCCAGGGTACCAGGTACCCTGTAGGACAGGGGTAGGCAACCTATGGCACATGTGCCGAGGGCGGCACGTGTGCTGATTTTCAGTGGCACTCCCACTGCCCGGGTCCTGGCCTCCAGGGGGCTCTGCATTTTAATTTAATTTTAAATGAAGCTTCTTAAACATTTTAAAAACCTTATTTCCTTTACATACAACAATCGTTTAGTTCTATATTATAGACTTATAGAAAGAGACCTTCTAAAAACGTTAACATGTATTCCTGGCACGCGAAACCTTAAATTAGAGTGAATAAATGAAGACTCGGCACACCGCTTCTGAAAGGTTGCCAACCCCTGCTGTAGGAGATGGTGTACCTCGCCTGTTCCAAACAGGATGTGACGAACGCCTGGGGAATGGCGCTTGTTCCTAACGCTGAACAAAACATTAGGGTTGTTCTTTCAAAAGCTTACAACTGAACCTTGACTTAATACAGCGTTGACTTTGCGGAAGAAAACTGCTGCTTTTAACCATCTTAATTTAAATGCAACGAGCACAGAAACAGTTTCCTCACCTTCTCAAATCTTTTTTTAAACTTTCCCTTTATTTTTTTTAGTCGTTTACGTTTAACAGCACTGTACTGCATTTGCTTTTTTTGGTGTCTCTGCTGCCTGAGTGTGTACTTACGGTTCCAAATGAGGTTTGTGGTAACTCTGGTGTTCATAACTCTGAGGTTCTACTGTAAGTATATTTAATCAAGAGGCGAACTTCAGTCTTTAAGACATTAGTCATAGAGTTTAAGGCTAGACGAGATCTTCAAATTACTGACCCATATCTCCCAGTCCATCAACCCCAACCAGCACCTGCACACCAAGCCCAACAACCAGAATTAACCCAAAATAGTGCAGCCCTCAGGGGACTGAACTATTATGTGCCACAAGCAGAGAATTGAAGGGACTGAGGTGCATTGTTAGAGTAAGAAATACATTGTGGTGTGGTTTGCAGCTGACAGGCATGGGAACTAGGGCTAAGAGATGAAGGTGACAACGTTAACGTCATGGGCGGAGCTGGAACTGACCGTGAGGGTCCCCTGGGCAGAGTGGCCAGGGCAGAACACACAGGAGCAGTAAAGTAGAGGATGCTTTCACTAGAAGTTGGAGGTCGAATTTGAGCTGTGCCCAGGGCACTGAAGGGCAGAGCCTGATAGAGCAGCTTTTGGGAAAGAGTTCAGGAAGGAACCGGTAGTGAAAGACCAAAAGTAAGTTCAGCGTTACCTAGGCTAGGTCTACACTACAGCGGGGTTCCGACCTAAGATACGCAACTTCAGCTACGTGAATACCGTAGCTGAAGTTGCGTATTTTAGGTCGGCTTACCTGGCGGTGAGGACGGGGGAAAGCCGACCGCTGCCGCGCTGCCGCCGACTCCGCTGCCGCCTCTTGTCGAGGTGGATTTCCGGAGTCGATGGCAGAGCGATCGGGGATCGATTTTACCGCGTCCTCACGAGACGCGGTAAGTCGATCCCCGATAAACTGATTGCTACCCGCCGGATCGGCGGGTAGTGAAGACGTAGCCCTAGAGAAGTTGGCTTAATTCCTTCGAAAGAACTAAAAGCAGAGCTCGTCCAGACTCTTGTTAGGGTGAGAAGAGGATGCTCTGGGTTGTTCTCTGTTTTTCTAATCAGAAGTGCTTCACCTTCAGATTTAAATATGCCAGGAGAGAGAGAGACACACTGCAAACAGTTCTCATGGTTTGAAAGCAATTGAGATTTATTTTGAAGACCATGTTGCCATTTTTCCATAAATTAAAACTCAGCAGTTTGTTTCTGGAGGGACTATTGGAATAAGCATCAGTAGTAAAGGAGTCACTAGGAGTTGATCACCAAGACACACCAGCACCAATCCTTCCCACTGTATAACTCAATTAATCCCACGACAATGGCAATGTTGGATCCATCTAAGCAACTCCTGGAAAAGCTGCTGTGAGCCATTTTTTCCAATGGCTGCAGAGTGCTTGGCGTGAATATGACATGCACAGAGTTAGTTTTTTTAGTAGGATTTTTAAAAGCACCGAATATGTTGGAAGCACAAGTCCCATTGAACACTGGCACTTTAAAAAAAAAAAAATCTCCCCTTGATACTATTTCTGTGCAAAAGAAAGGTTTGGAAATGGTCTTGGGAAGGAGACACCCACAGCTGCTGCCGACTGTCCCGTTGATGGTCTCAGCCCTGCAGGGAGCAGCACAGTCAGAAAAGGGGTAGTATATTGAAGTGTACATGATGGACAGCTATAACAATTAAGAGGAGGAAACAGTATCAAAAGTTAAGGGCATCGTTTTGTTGTGTTAAGCTGTCCACAGCTTGGGCGCATTACTTGACTTTTTGCAAGACGGCTGCTTTCCTCTACATCTGTCCACAGCTAGGCATAGCAATCCACGCATGGACCGCCACAGACGTGCAGCTCTTGCAGCCAACACTGAGAACCCCCCTTCCCCCACCTCAGTACAGTGTGCTTCAGAAATAAGGCATGAGCGGTAGGTGCAGACAGTCAAGCCACTTTGGTTAGTGAGTTTCCTGCAAGATACAGCTAGATGAGCTGACTGTATGTTTAGCTCTGAGCATGGGATAGTGTGTCAGGGGTAGGTGCAGAGAGGCAATCACCCCTTTGATGGGTCTGGCAGGTATATGAGTGACTAAAACCGACAGGGAAGTTCTGTTCTTTCCATGGAAGCTGGCTGCAATAGTTGGAACATTTCAAGGATATTTCTTTGTTTCTTTAGCCACCGTCTTCTCTGATGCCTTGGTCAATTCCTCTAATGCCTTCTTCAGTGCTTTCATTGACTCCTTTGGTGCTTTAGGTATTTTGGCCTCCTCCTTCAGTGCCACAGCCATCTCCTTCTCTGGTGCCTTGGGGACCTCAGCCACCTTCTTCTGTGCTGAAGCCACCTCTTGCAGTGCAGATGATATCATCTCTGTCATCATAATTTCTTTCGGCTCCTCTGTGGCTTCTTGGGTCGCTCTGACTGACGGAGAGAAGGGGCCCACAAGCCAGTTGAGGGGAGTGTTGTGTGAGATGTACTCCAGTAGGGCATCCAGAGACTCCTGGGCCTTTGTCATTTTCTCCTGGCTCTGGGTCAGGGAGCTGCTGGAGAGGTCCTGGAAGGAATCAGCTCTGGAAAAGGAAGCGTGGAGCTGCTGCACGTTGTTAACAGCCTGTTGCACTGTTTCCTGGATGTCACTAGGGAGGCCTTGGATGCTGGATACCAGATTCACGTAGCCAGGGTGCAGCTGCTGGGTGATGATACGCATCATGGCTAGAATACGAGACTCGACCTGCTGAGAGGAGAGGAGTGGGTAAGACTTACAATGCGAAACCAGTGTTTAGTGCACCATCCGTCCCTGTAAGTACTCCCCACTAGAGATACCTCAGGCTGGGAAGCATCTTTAGCGGGGCTCCCGCTCGGCTGGGTCCGGCTCCACTCAATCCACAGCTGTTGAAGCTTCTCCAGGCTATCCTGAAGCTTATGCCCAACGCCCTGTTTTACGTATTCGATCTGGCAGGGAGACAAGAATGATCATTGCAGATACCTGTGATCAGCAAGAAGCTCTGCAGTGCCCAGTCCCTCTTACACAGTGGGGTCCCGAGAACGGGAAACAGGCAGGACCACACCAAGGAAGTTGAGGCACATCAAGCAGAGATGGGGACGTAGGTAGACGTGTGACTCAGAGGGCACCCTGGGAACAGTGCGATTTAGCACTGGGGTGGAATGCTTTGCACCGCCAGGGCGGGAAAGGGGGTGTACTTACGAGGTTTATTGCCAGCTGGAGTTGCGAAAGACTGTCCTGGGTGTTTTGCTTGATGAGCCGCAGCTTGTTCAGGGAGTGCTGGTAGGCTCGGTGGCGGACTTTGTTTGAGAGGGAACCCAGGCGCACGAAGTAACTCTGACGCTGTTTCTGTTCTTCCACGGAGGCCATGTTGAAACCCTCGATGGCTATGGCAAGTTTAACTGAAGGGAACATTTGTATAAGGGTCAGGTTATCAGCAGGAATGCCCGCCCCCAGTGATGGTCCTCTTGGGCCCACTGCACAAGATCGGCGACACACAGTCTAGCACTAGCATGACCTAACGGCCCCACTCCTTGTCTCTGTGCCTCTGTTTCCCTATCTGTAAAATGGGGATAATGATACTGACTGCCTTTGTAAAGTATTTTGAGATCAACTGAAGAAAGAACTAATTATTATTCGTGCTCAGACACAGATTTTGAGAGGACAGCAGCTGCCTGAAGGGATGAAGAATGCACTGATATAGTTATTTATTTATTGCACGGATCTCACCTGCTTTTACCCACCATTTTCAAGGCAAATAAGACAAAACAGTAGCTAGCGAACATCGGAACCTCCTCCCTGTGTCACATGCCAGCTCCTAATGTTGAGAGAAAGTCATTGCGGTGACAAGTCGAAAGCAACTTACCTATCCCAAGACAGGAGAAGGCCTCTGCCATCTAGCAGAAGCAATAGTGTCTGAGCTTGGATGGAGGAGAGAGGTGCATTTTCTATTGCTAGCACATGCTGTAGAGCAGTGGCTCTCAACCTTTCCAGAGTACTGTATCCTTTTCAGGAGTCTGATTTGTCTCGCGTACCCCCAAGTTTCACCACACTTCAAAACTACTTGCTGACAAAATCAGACATAAATATACAGAAGTGTCACATCACACTATTACTGAACAATGGCTGACTGTCTCATGTTTACCATAGAATTATAAAATAAATCAATTGGAATATAAATATTGTATTTACATGTCAGTGTATAGTACATAGAGCAGTATAAACAAGTCCTTGTCTGTATTAAATTTTAGTTTGTGCTGACTTTGCTAGTGCTTTTGAGGTAGCCCATTGTAAAACTAGGCAAATATCTAGATGAGTTGATGTACCCCCTGGAAGACCTCTGTGTACTCCTAGGGGTACGTGTACCCCTGGTTGAGAACCGCTGCTGTAGAATGTCTAAGCACTTTCTCACCCAGTTCCTCATTTGTCAGGGGGAGGTAGTGATCCACCAGCGCCTGTGATTTCTCTAGCACAGCATCCACTCCACTCGCCACCAGCTGGCCTGCTGCCTTGGCTTTATTTAGGCTGTTGGTCACCACGAAACTGGTCATCTCCACGCCGTCCTGGACGGCCTCTCTGCTCCGCCCTAGAACTGTATTCACTTTGCTGGTCACAATGTCCTTTGCACCACAAGCAGCTTCCTTGGCAGTATTGACAGTGGAGGACACCACTGATTTGGT